AACATCTGAGCTCTTCAAACACATTAATTAAAATGTGTTGGGTCCAGAAACATTCTCACCAACCCCTCCTCTGCATGAATTATATATGCTTTGATGCTTAAAACTCTCTTCTACTTTAGCCTTTATGTATGTATATATCAATTCAGTTCTGAAAAATGAGTTTGTAAATGTTAAAAGCATTGCTTATCAGTAGAATTATAATGCAAGCACCAGATATAACCTTGTATTATTTTTGGTAGCCACATTTTAAAAACATGTGAACTTCATTTCCGTAATTATTTAACCAAGTAAATTCAAAATACTCTCATTTATCAATGAAGACAGATTACTGATACTTTACAGGGTTTTTACAGAGAAAATATTATCAATATTGAGTATAATTTACATTTACAGTGCACAGTAATTTGAACTAGCTACATCTCAGCGGTCAGGGCTGGAGTGATAGCACAGCGGGTAGGGCATTTGCCTTGCACGCGGCCAACCAGGGCCGGCCCAGTTTCGATTCTTCTGCCCCTCTCGGAGAGCTTGGCAAGCCACCGAGAGTATCTCTCCCCCACGGCAAAGCCTGGCAAACTCCCTGTGGCGTATCCGATATGCCAAAAACAGTAACAAGTCTCACAATGTAGACATTACTGGTGCCCGCACAAGAAAATTGATGAGCAACAAGAGGGCAGTGCCATAGTGCTACATCTCAGCGCTCAGTAATTTTATGTGATCAAGTTACCATGTTGAACAGTAAAGTCCTCTAGGGCAATTAGATACATAGAATTGGAGTTTAGTGTATCACTATATCACTGTATCAGTGTCATCCCGTTGTTCATCAATTTACTCGAGTGGTCGCCAGTAATGTCTCCATTCATCCCAGCCTCTCCTTACTCGTCTTTCCCAATGAATTGCCATATTGGAGGCTCTTTCGGGGTCAGGGGAATGAAACCTGTTATTGTTACTGTTTTTGGCATATCGAATATGCCATGGGTAGCTTGCCAGGCTCTGCTGTGCAGTTGTTTAGTGTGGCAGTATAAATTTTAGGTCGGGTGAATGAAATCACCAGTTTTATATTATGTGAAGTGGTGAAACAGAACAAATCACCTGGGAAGATATATGTTTTGAGAGTAAAGGAAAGATCTTGACAGAACCTCAGGGAACACTAAGGCAAAAAAAAAGAAAAAAACCCTTATAAAAGGACTCAAGAAGGAGCACAAAAATCTAGCAGAATATTATCGAGAATCCATGTGATTATTTCTCTACAGAATGAGGCATTTCTATAAATTGGGGATTGATCATTCTAAGAACCATATGAGACAGGTCAGCATTATGAGCTCACGATAGGAGAGTGGTTGCTGATATCTGTTTGAGAAATGAGGCTGACATTGACAGAACATCACCAATCTTATTAGAATGGATGAGGCTAATGGAAGGAATTCGCTCGAAACAGTCGTGGATGGAACAATCGCCAGAGTACCTATGATTCTTCAAGTCAGAACATTCGATAGGAATAGGAGTGAGTGCCCATGCAAAACAAGAGTGCTGTTGCCTTAGTATCCTGTTGAGGATGGAGGTATTTACTTCAACTGAGTAGATAAGTTATTACCAACAACTGTAGCACTGTAGCACTGTCCTTCTGTTGTTCATCGATTCGCTGAGCGAGCACCAGTAACATCTCCATTGTGAGACTTGTTACTGTATTTGGCACATTGAATATGCCATAAGGAGCTTGCCAGGCTCTGCCCTGAGGGCGAGATCCTCTTGGTAGCTCTCCGAGAGGGACAAAGGAATTGAACCCAGATGGGTCAAGTGCAAGGCAAATGCACTACCTGCTGTGCTATCGCTCCAGCCCACCAACAGCAAATATGTATATTACCAAATATATATAACCAACAACAAATATGTATATTTCCCTAGCAGTCCAGCTGCAAGCATTAAGTCAGAGAAAGCTATAAAACAAGAAGTGCACCTGACTCCGGTAAGGGGGAGGAACTTAACAATGTTAAAGAGATGGGTCAAAAGGAGAGAGAGAACAGAGGGGAATGCCCTGCCACAGAAGCAGGGTGGGATGGAGGGGATGGGGGGTGGGAGGGATACTGGGATCCGTGGTGGTGGAGAATGGGCACTGGTGAAGGGATGGGTGTTTGATCATTGCATAATTGAAACCCAAGCACAAAATGTGTAAGTCTACAACTGGACCTCATGGTGTCTCACTAATAAAAATTTAAAAAAATAATAAAAAGGAAAGAGATGGGTCTTTCACGGGAGAAATCACGGTCCAAGCAATGTGTTGCAAAGAAGAGATAGTTTATGTTTATGCTGTATGTAGAACCCCACACCCTGCCCTCTGGGGGCCTCATGATGCCAAGGGAGGTGGGGAGGGAAGAGTCGAAAGTGAAGACAGCAGGGTGCTTGTGCCATATCAGATCTCCATCAACATGCAACCCCAAAAGATCATGACTGTGAGAGCTTTGTAAATCAACTCTTAGGGTGCTCGCTTCAGGGCAAATAGCACAACAAATTAATCCTTTCTCCATGAAATGCAGCAAACTTTGTATCTACGCTGAATTCAAATTGCTCATTAGCTCTGACATGTTCCTAATGAGGTTATAATGCTCTGGGACAAAGATCAAGTCACTGAGCACGAATAGCTAGGAATAGAATCATAGAAAGATAAAGTCAGAAGGACCTTAGAGAAATACTTTCCAAACTTTAATGGAAATCACCTGGGACGGAGCCTCGCCTTCCCCATGTCCACCAAAGTCCCAGGTGATCGGTATGTATTCTGAGTAGCAAGGCCTTTAGAGAGAATCCAGTACAATCCTTTACCCTAGAGTTGAAGACACTAGGATATGGGCTAAGAGACTTAGGATACGGAGTGGAATACTAAGACTTCCCTTACTTGGCATGTACTTATAGACCTGTGGGTCAACCTCAATGTTTAAATAGAAGCAAAGGAAGTTGGCTAGCCGAGCATATTGGTTTCCTCAGAACTAAGGGACGTTTATTGAAAATCAGGACAAATCTAGAAAAATCAGAATTTTTTCACCCTACAAATATGTTTGTTTTTTAATCTACGTTTAGTGTATTATACCAAGATTATTACCATGACTGGCAAGATAGTACAGTGGATATGGCAGCTGCCTTGCAAGGGGTCAACCCAAATTCTATCCTGGCACCACAAATGGTTCCTGGTGTGATCTTTGAGGACACAGGAGTGATCTTTGATGACAGAGAACCAGAAGTAAGCCTAGAGCACTGCTGGGTATAACCAAAATTATAAATAATTACACACACACACAACATTTTTACTTTTTCTATCCCTGAGTGCCAAGATCATGTACTGCTACCGAGGTAGGCCCTCCTGTTGATCGTCGATTTGCTCGAGCGGGCCCAGTAACATCTCCATTGGAGACTTTGTTGTTACTGTGTCTGGCATATCGAATACTCTCAGTAGCTTGCCGGGCTCTCCGAGGTAGATACCTTGATAATGTCCTATTCCAAAGATTCCCCAAGACCAGACAATCACCCAATATTACATTTTTCAGAGCTCTATAACAATATCACCAAGTGTTTCTCCCACAGATAAAAAGTACTAGGAGGTCTTAAATTAAGGTATAAATAAAGGAGAATCAACAATGTAGAGAAATAGCTACCATATGAGCATAAAATGTTCTTTATAGCATACAAATATGTTTTTCATTTGATAAAATGCATAGAAGATAAAGACTCCATTGTATCAAACCCAAAATACTTCTTTAAAATACCTTTGGTAAAGTCACTAAAACAATAATAAAAATAAGAATGCATCCCTGAGAATAAAAAAGGAAGTTATGTTCCATACAATAAAAATATTAGAAATGGAAATATATTTCTCCATGTTGCTATTATACTCACTAAATTTAAGCCCATTGATATTAGATATAATAATAAACACCTTGGGAAACTAAAGTGGAAAATTTCTAGACTATTCGAAGCTAGCAGCGTATCTACTGCTAAGGTTTCTAAAACAGAGTATCAAGACACTGATTCCATAAGGTAAAGGTAAAGGTAAAGGCCCTCCCGTTGATCGTCGATTTGCTCGAGCGGGCCCAGTAACGTCTCCATTGGAGACTTTGTTGTTACTGTGTCTGGCATATCGAATACTCTCGGTAGCTTGCCGGGCTCTCATACTCATTCCAAATGCAAACTTAGTGCAATCCGAAACCCACTGACTCACTCTCTAGTCTACCTGTTTAAATAAGATGCCCAAGTGACCGGGCTGTATCACTTGACTTCATTTTCATGCAGTGAGAACACTTGAAACAAAGGAAGAAAAGAAGTGGAGCTCAAATATATACAATGCATTTGCAATAGGTAAAAGACTGAACTCCAGACACTCAGCAATCATTACCTGGAAATTAAAGAGGGCAGAAGCAATCCTATTATGCATTATAAACAGCCCAGCTGCTGACTTAATGGTAGTCTGAGTAGCATAACCAAGGAGTCCTTGCTCCAATATTAATAGGAAACGTATTGTACGGATCCAATAGTTCATGAAATTAACAAGGAAAATGAACTGGAGTGAAGCAACTTTGCAAGTAATAGAAAGGCATCAGCAATTGCTTCCCTGAAGCACATTGAACACTTAAAAAGAGCTTGGGGAGAGTACATGTATATAAATGAGTATGGACATTATTGGAATTTTTTAATAATACTTTTAATTTAAATACATTTCAAACACTCTGTTGGCTAAAAGTATTTTCCGGAGAAAGCAATTAGCTTAAGATGTCAATAAGTGACCCTATCCTTCCAGATCTAGTGGTGCTATTGAAAGAGAGCTGCCATCTGAAGCAAACTAAAACTAGCATAATCTATGATTTGACAGCTGTCAAAAGCGTTCTCGCATCATTTTCGTAGAATGAGAGACTTCAGAGAGGATTCTAGAAAACAAGTTCCCGTCTATAAACATCAACGGCCCAGATGATAACTGCATTCCCACTGGCGATCTGAAAAGTATAATTAATTCAACATACAAACCAATCGACATACGATGAAAGAGCACTTCTTCCCCGCAGACACTTCCTTGGACAATCTGACTGAAACTTGGATCAAATGAACAAGAAGTCGAAAGGGTTTCCATCGAGGCAAGGATATGACTTCTATTTCTCCCAGATAAAGACCCATCCAGGTCTTCCAAAATTGCTGCATGAGGAAATGGGAATGCTACTAAATTTGAAGAGTTTATGATTTTCAACTGGCTGGTCGTCACAGTAAAGCCACCTATAGATCAGAGAAAAGACTGTTACAAAATAGTAGAAAATATTTATCGCAAATGACCATTAAATTCACTTATGGGGGAGATGTAAGAACAATTATACTCAATATTGGCAATATATTTAAATTGTTTAATTTTGGCTCTATGATTGGGATTGTGAAATTATATATATATAAATATTTAAATTTTCCCTTGTTTTGTTCTTAAGTCCACACCTGCCTATGCACAGGGTTTACTCCTGGCTCAGAGTAACTTCTGGCAGACTCAGGGGACCATATAGAGTGTTGGGGATTGAACCCAGGCTGGTTGCATGCAAGGCAACCACCTTACCTACTGTGCTATCTCTCTGACCCACCCAAATAAAATATTTTAAGAGAATTTGTAATCTCTAATAAAAATATTAAAGGTGAGAAAAAAATCACTCATGGGAATGTTTTCAGTGCTTTCAATTACACATGTATGTGGCTTTTCAAGTTGCTCACTTATTCACCCAAGAAAAATATATAACTTTGTGTATTCTATTCCAGGCTCTGTATTTGTGTCAGAGATTCATAGAGAAGAAGCAAGAGAAAAATTGTTCCTGGATTCATGATGCCATATTTTAGAACAGTGATTCTCAGCCAATAAAAAAAGGCCCTCCCGTTGATCATCGATTTGCTCGAGCGGGCCCAGTAACGTCTCCATTGGAGACTTTGTTGTTACTGTGTCTGGCATATCGAATACTCTCGGTAGCTTGCCGGGCTCTCCGAGAGGGGCAATAATTCTGGGTAATTAATTCCTACAAACGAGATCTCCACCATTTGGAACCATTCTGGTTGATGGTGGTGTTATAGGCACCTGATAGATTGAGGCAGGGATACTTCTAAATATGCTCAATGCACAGCACACTCCTAGAACGAAAAATAAAAAAATTACCCAGCTCCCATGACTATAGTATCAAAGTTGAGAAACTAGAAGAAAACAGACACAAAATACTAAAAACTAATTACTAAAATCTGGAAATTCTATAATTTAGATTTTCAATCTTTGTGTTCCAAATATTTTATGGTAAATCACCTTTCATGAGGTTTATACTTTGAACATTGAACCTCAAAAAATAGTTCTCAGGGGCTGGAACACTATTGTTTTGTGGTACAAGGGCAGGGCATCTGTCTTGCACATTGCTGACCAGGGTTTGATCCCTGGCATCCCATATGGTCCCTTGAGCATGCCAGAAGTATTGCCTGAATGCAGATGCAGGAGTTCGCTCTTGAACACCCCTAGGTATGTCCCCCTGCCAACACACACCACCAAAAAATTAGCTCTCAGTCATATGGCAAATAATGATCATAACACATTTTTTAGTATTACTTTAATACTAAAGCTCAACTTCTATATTAAAGATCTACAATCCTTACAGTCATTATCTCAGACCACCACGAATGTTTCACCAGTTCTGCTGCTAACCCAGTGACCCAGGAAGCAATTGTGACAGTTGTCTTCTGATTCACACATCCTTGTCATTGAATTTTTTAAACAAGCACCCATTTTTAGGCATCTGTTGCTATATTGGTACATATGCTACATATACTAGACTGCCTTACTGTCAACATGATAAAATATATGAAAAAGAAAGATACAAAAGAACAGAACACACATCAATGGAGATCATACTCTTTTTCATTCTGCACTTCAGGGCAGCCCAAGCAGGAAATTAAATCACGTATTCAAGTTTCCTCCAACGTATCTCTTGACACTTGTCGTGTTAGGTGAACGACAGATGTCTCTCTTGACACTTCTATAGTTCATCTAACACTACAAGTACCTATAACCCAGTCATATTAGACTTCTTCGCAATTCTACAAATATACTTGCATTGACATCTTTTTTGCATGTGTGTACCTTGTTCTTAAAACCTAGAAACCTTTCCCTGCCTATATCTATTTCTAAACTTCAATTCATGTTTCAAATCTAGCATCATCTCAGCATCATTCTGAATCATACGAGAACCCCTTCTCTGTTCCCATCACTATTCAGTTCTCCAATTCTTCACTCATTCCACTTTGCCACAGCACAGATATTTAGATTTGTACTGGATCAAGAGAACAAGAGAACAAGAACTAGGTTATAGGCCTTTAAACAGGATCTGGGATAGACCATTTAAAAAAAAATGGCTTAGCCAAGATCATCCAGTGAAGGGGTTAAGAAATACCATGATTTTTATCCATGTCTTATGAATGATATGAAATAGAGATGCTATTAAAGAACAGACGAACTGTGATTTGAAGTAATTACCAAAAGCTGTTTTCCTTCCTATAATTATTTCTACAATCTTCAACTCAGATGCCACCCAAATTTAAAAATAAAAAATTATTGGCTCTGCCTAAACAGAAAAGAAAAAAAAAAGTAGAGACTTGCTGATTATTCATTTAATTAAAAAAACAGACAATTATCCAAATTGGTGCTTCAAACCACAAGAGCATGTTTACTAGAATTACTTGGTTTGGCTGTTTACAATGATCAAATCAACTAGATTGCCCTCTACTTCTTTTCACCTTGGCCTATGAGTTCTCCAAGGTATTTCTCATCTCCTCTGAGATGTGGTTAACGAGTGAACAAGAATTGCTATGGTTCTCTTGGTACATTCAACAAGCCTTGGGCTGTTGAAACATGAAATACCTGAAATCTGCTCTTTCGGGGAAGACTGTGTGTGTGTTGTGGAACTTCATTCATTTAATCAGTGAACATACTAGGAGAGGGTCTGTGTAGGTGCTAGTGCAAAGGTCTGGGCAAGAGAGGCATACTCGAACCTTTATGAAACTCAGAGGACATCAGAGACAGAGTACCATGATGACAGGGTCTGACATTCGCCAATACAGAAAAAGAAAAGTGGAGCTTCAAGAGCCGCAATCTGAAAACCTGGCATCCATAGGGATTAATTTTATGTGCTTGAGCATCAAGTAAAATTACCAGTGCAATCATAACTGAGAGAAACAATTCAATATACCACTACACTTAACTCTAAAAAAAAAGTTAGGTGCTATGATTCTTGGATAGTGTAAATAACTTCTTAGTCACCCCAAATTTAATTATTAATAGCCTGCTGTTTGTCAGAATCTTCTAAAATAAACAATTGATGAACCACATATTTTGTACTTTATATGTTTCATATACTATATTCTTACAATAAAGTGAGGAACAGAAAATAAAATGCTATTAAAAATAATGAGAAATGAAAAGCATTTATAGTCCTTTAGTGCACTTATTGATAACATAAGTTTAAATAAGTTCACAAGATGAAGCGTTTGTCAGTGTCTACATGAATATTAGTCTGTACAGTTTTTTATATAAATTACTGAATATCAGAAACTTAAAGACAATGTGAAAAAGTAATTCGTACTTATTTACTGATATAATAATTTATACTTTACTAACACATACTGTGAAAAGTTGTGTAGATATAAAACCTTAAGTTCAAACCCGTATTGTTCAAGATCAAGTGTCATTACTATATTTGTAAGTATTATCCTTTATTTACTATCCTTCTTATTTATTCAAATCACTTACCCTGTCCCTGGAAACAGCCAGAACAGGTTCTGATTGCCACACAGTCAGTGAAATCAAAATTAACAAAGGTGGTATTAGATATTATCAGTTCTTGTCTCTTGGGAGTTTTGATCCCAGCTGACATACATTGACTTCTCTGTGATTTAGAAGGAAAAAGATAGCTGGTGACACGAGAAAAAATTCATAATGCACAAGTAAAAACAACAGAATAGAAAGGAAAGCTAAAAGTGGAAAAGAATATTTTCAAATTACATATATGGTGAAAAATCATGATACAATACACTAAACATCGATTAGAATGGTTAAAAAAAACGGCAGTACCAAGTGTTGCCACTGCTCCTGAGAGACAGAAAATCTGATATCATGCTAGTGAGAAATGATCCAGGCACTGTGACAATTCTGATAAAGTAAAATATGCTCTGATAGCATGACTGAGCAATTCAACATATTATTTTGAATTCTACAGGAACTCAAGGATACTGATCTTTGAGTTGTGAAAATTTTTTGTCTGGACAAAAACCTTACACAAATAGTTACAACAGCTCCATTCAAAATCACCAAATCTGAGGACAAACTGAAAGATTGTCCAACAAATGAATGGATAAACGTGGTACATCCACACAGTAGATGTATGGATAGATGGAAGCTACCCAGCATTTGGGGATGAAATAAACCAGTTTTTAAAAGTTTTCACTTCAGGAGCTGAGAGAGTACAAGTTGTAAGGTGTTTGCCTTGCACTTGGTCAACTTGTGTTGGATTCCCATCATCCCATATGGATCAAGGAGCCCTCCAGAATGATTCCCAAATTTAGTGCTAAGAGCAATGCCTGAGCACCATCGGGTGTGCCCGCATCCACAAAAAACTCTCACTACAGTAATCCCTCATTTAATGTGACCAATGGGTCTTTGAAACTTTGCCTTTAAACTGGAACATGTGTATGCAAACTAATCTGAGCAAATTAATCTGTCTACAGACTAATAGAAATAAGAACAAAACTCCTGCAACGTATTCTGTTCATAAAATCATCAAACTACTAAACTACAAATACACTAAGCATTTCTAATAGTAAACAACTACTTGTATTCTTTCATTTATTTCCTGACCCTTGCCATCCAGTTTGGGATCACTGGTGACCTGGGCTGATGGTGGACAAAGATCCACCATCTCTGAGCACAGCAGAAAACAGCCCAAGAGAGGAGACATCTTCCATCCCTTCTGAGGTCACAGGAGCACCACAGGCATTCAGACCAAGATAAAAAAGGTAAAGGTAAAGGCCCTCCCATTGATCGTCGATTTGCTCGAGCTCAGTAACGTCTCCATTGGAGACTTTGTTGTTACTGTGTCTGGCATATCGAATACTCTCGGTAGCTTGCCGGGCTCTCCGAGAGGGGCGGAGGAATCGAACTCGGGTCGGCCATGTTGGCCGCTTGTAAGGCGAACGCCCTACCGCTGTGCTATCGCTCCAGACCAAGATAAGTGAGACACAATTCAGAGTCTGAGATGCGTGTCACTAGGTTATAGGAAGAAAGCAGAGTGTGCACAAAAACCCCAAGCAGACATGGTGGTACGTGAAAATTCCATGGACAGTGACTCTAACTCAGAACCATTTCTTTTTTTCACTTAAATTATAATGAAGTGAAAATGAACAAAACAGCGCTATTCAGAAAAAGACCTGCTATTTGTGGTTCATTCTGATGGTTACAAAGACCGAATAAATGAATTATTCATCAGGCATCTCCAACATTAAAAATATTGGTAAAAATGAACAGAAGACAAGGAATGAAGTAGAAAAATATCAAGCCAATAAAGAAATTAAAAGATTGCTGGTTAGTTCATATATTATTATTTATTAATTATCGTGACTAATTAATTAAACACTGTCATTAATGACCTCAGGGAAATAAACATATTCATAAAATAAGACCGTCTAAGAGGGATTTCTGAAAGAGGAATAAAAGGAGAGCATGCATATGAAATTAAAATGAAAATTTGAGTAAATCTTTAGAAAAAAATAAAAACAAATTGTTAGAAAATCAGAAAGAAAATTAGCAAAATTAGAAAAAAAACAATGCAGGAGGTTTAGCACTTAACAATAATTAACTCCACCATACACACAAACACCTCAAAATGTAGATAATAGAGAATCATAAAAGATAAAGCTTAAAAGAAAAGATTGATTTTTCGGTTCAGAACGGTCCATACAAAATATCAAGTACGGAGCGATAGCACAGCGGTAGGGCGTTTGCCTTGCATGCAGCCAACATGGCCGACCCGAGTTCGATTCCTCTGCCCCTCTCGGAGAGCCCGGCAAGCTACCGAGAGTATCTCGCCCGCACGGCAGAGCCTGGCAAGCCACCCGTGACGTATTCGATATGCCAGACACAGTAACAACAAAGTCTCTAATGGAGATGTTACTGGGCCCGCTCGAGCAAATCGATGATCAACGGGAGGGCCTTTACCTTTACCTTACCTTACCTTAAAAAACACCAGAGAGAAAAATATGATCCCCCAAAATTTTAAAGAGGTAAAATTTAAAGGCTACATACAAAAGACTTAGAACCATAGCATCTCAATAAGATTCACTGTCACCACTATAAACCAAAAGACAATGAAAAATTCGTTTCAAAATTCCAAGTCCAAATGCAGTCAACCTGATAATCTATGACAAGGAACCAACTCATAAGGGGTCCTCCATTTGTAATTCAGAATAGTTTTCATACATAAAGCCTTTACTCTGAAGCCATGGAGGTTGGACCAAAATCTGACTGTGCTTGGGAATCACTCCTGATGGTGCTCAGGAGACTGTATGTGGTGGAGGGGATCCAGCACGGGTCAGCCACATGCACAGCAAACAACTTTCCTGCAATAATATCTTTCTGGCCCCAAGCTGTCACTTTTTTGGTTTTCGAGTCACACCCAGCAGTGCTCAGAGCTTACTCCTAGCTCTGAGCTCAGGGATCACTCCTGGAGGTGCTTGGGGGACCATATAGGATGCCTTATTTGTTCTACTATGTCTCTCTAACCCCATCTTCACATTTGTAAAGTAAAGTAAAGTCCCTCCCGTTGATCATCGATTTGCTCAAGCGGGCCCAGTAACGTCTCCATTGGAGACTTTGTTGTTACTGTGTTTGGCATATCGAATATGTCACGGGGAGCTTGCCAGGCTCTGCCGTGCGGGCGAGATCCTCTCGTTAGCTTGCCGGGCTCTCCGAGAGGGGCGGAGGAATCGAGGATACTATAGACTATATTCTGATGAAATGAGGAATTAACATGGAAAAAAAGGAAGACATGAGAGTCCAGAAGAAGATGACTAGGAAGACACGAGAAAATCTACAAGAGGAACACACCATTGACAAAGAAACCCTTCTCTCACATAGCTAGTGCAAGTGCAAACTCTCAGCATTGTTTTTATTATAACCAAAGAGGAGTGAAGCGCCCCTGACCCATAATTAACAATCTGGCATTACCCAACAGCAGTGCAAGCACATGAACACCAAGACACAGAAGAAAGTTTATCATATCATTGTTGGCAGTGACATCTGAACAAGAAATGATCAAAAATACTTAAGTAGCTTCGTAAAATTTGGTTCATGAAATTAAAGGTATTCCCTCAACAATTGGGAGAATAAGTTACTGTAAGTAAGTAAATAAATAAATAAATCTGTGAATATTACAGATATAATACTTTGCCAAAGAAGCCAGTCACAAAAGAGTTATGTGGTATTAAGATTCAATGTGTATAGATTCAAAACAGCTTTGAAAGTAATCTCTGTTGATGAAGCCTGAATAATGGTTCCCCTCGGCTGGGGGTTAGAAGGATTGAAGGAAGGGGACCAAAGACACGGAGCTTCAAAATAAGTGTGCATGTCCTTTTTCCTGATCTGATTTGTTAGTTTTAGAAAATCAACTCAGATCTTCTCTTGTGATCTGTGTATTTTTCTCTCTACATTTTAAATTTTTATGAAATATTTGATAAGAACAGATACTACACTTGATCTTAGCCAAAAGGCCGAGAAGCGAATGAAATATTTATTTTTTAAAAAATTAAAAATAGAACAAACACTAGAGATAGGAAATATTTTTTAAAAAAGGTAAAGGAAGAAATAAAAACTCCTTGCATTGATCCCGTAAAGTTAAATCAGGTTATATAATTTAGACTTCATTCAGACCACCAGGAATGTAAAAATTTTAGATGCAATAAGGAATGATTATAAACAAACATATAAATTTCAAGTGAATAAATATATATGCAACATAAAGACACTATTTAATGCGACACAAATCAAGTTTAGAAAATAGAAAAGCGTCGAAAGAAACTGGTTGCAAACTGAAAACACCAAATAAGATGGTAAAAATAAATGCAAATATATGGGAGACATCAGCATGTAGATGGTAATTGAAACCACTAGAGAAAATGAGTTTTCTCCCGGGGAGAGCAAGTATATTGAGTAGAGAAGGGGTCTTACAATAGAATTTAGAGAACAAAAAAATGAAAGGTCTAAATTGAGTAAGACAAATCCACAAATGAAAAGGGGAAGTTAGACCTAAGAAAAAAAAAAGAAAGAATGGAGTAACCCCCTCAACATCTGTTTGAATATGATCATTTCTAAAGTGGTATCATCTGCTCTAATTAATTACAAGGCAAAACAAATATAACCATTCTACAGTTACTCCTCAAAATGGAGTGATCATAATTTACATCCCAATCAGGACATTATTGAGAGTGTAGAAAGAGATTTTAATTTAATAGACTGTAAGGACAATATCTACAACAAACTATAAACCAAACTAGAATTTTTAGTGATAGGTATTGTACATTTCAATTATTATTATGACAGATGCCTCACTGAAAATTATTCTACCCAACTCAACATAAAGGTGATGTTAGGTGTGCAGGGACCAGAAGGACATACAGTGTTAAAGGAAAAAATTACTTTTAATAAAAAAATTTTTCAGAAACTACTCTTTGTTTTAGGATATGCCTCACTGAAAATTGTCTGCCACCAATTCTATAAATATTTAATATAAGATTACAGATCAGTAGATAGATAGACAGGAAGTCAGAATGGACAAGTCAGATTTTCTGAAAAATCTGTACTTCCAAAGCAGTGGCCGGCATGAAAGGTAGAAGTTAAAATCTGCACTTCTTTCACAAAATTTACATACAAGTGGTACTACATGGAAAGTATCATGTTAAGCGAAATGACTCAGAAAGAAAGGGATAGACATAGAAAGACTGCATTCATCTGGGGAACATAAAGTAACAAAATAGGAGACTAACACCCAAGAAAGGCCGAGATCAGTACCAGGAATTTTATTCCATGGCTTGGAGGACAACCACACATGCTAGGGGGAAAGGGAGCTCAGATAGAAAAGGGAGCACCAAATAAAGGGTGTTGGGAGGATTCTCCCAGGATCGGAGAAGCATGCTGAAAGTAGACTATAGACTAAACATGATTGTCACCCATTTCCTCTTTTGCAAACCACAACACCCAATAGGAGAGAGAGAACCAAAGGGAATGCCCTGCCACAGAGGCAGGGTGGGATGGGGGGGGATGGGGGGTGGGAGGGATACTGGGATCCGTGGTGGTGGGAAATGGGCACCGGTGGAGGGATGGGTATTTGATCATTGTATAATTGAAACCCAAGCACAAAAGTGTGTAAGTCTGCAACTGTACATCATGATGTCTCACTATTAAAAATTTTTTAAATAAAATTTTAAAAAATCTGCACTTCTTAATCAAGAATTCTGTATTTTTTACAAAATAAACAACCAACACAATTCCATATGGCAAATAGAATTTCCCAAATAGATCTGAGAAACACTCTGTTTAAGATCCACATGTTTTGGGGCCAGAGTGATAATACAGCAGGTAGGGTGCTTACATTGCATATTGTGGACCTGGGTTTAATCCGGTACCTCTATGGTTCCCCTTTGCACCACCAGAGCCAGAGCCTAAGCACAGAACCAGGAGTAACCTCTAAGCACTCACAGATGTAGCCCCCAAACAAAACAAAACACAAACAAATAAAAATTCACAGGGATTTCTTTCCCCATTCTTTATTTTTAACCCAAGGATTTCTGCAGGATTTAGTATGCAATGCAATTTTCAGAAGATTGGAGGTATGGTCCACAGCAATACCCAAAACTTAGGTAACCAAAGCGTCTTCCTTTGCTACACTTTTTCAGGATAATTTCCTATGAAAACAGTTCAAGAAAATTAGGAGTAGGTACAAACATTTGCTCATTACTAAAGCCATTCTCCATGAGTGACTGAGTGAGTCTTGGACAAGTAGTGGGAAAATATTAAGGTGATCCTCAGTCTACAATAACAAACTATTATTTCACTTCCCAAAGTCTCCATTGTTCTGCTTATAAGTTTAGCAGTCATAACTAAATCAACACTTAGATACAAATTGGCTTGAAAGTTATATGGTGTGATGATTTGGATGCAATCCTGGTGAGTAAGGGGTGTGATATTTTCTTTAATCTCATAATAAACACTCTTTTGTCTTAAATTATATCTTAATTTAGGTTACTCTCACATTAATTCTGATGTCTACTTAGCTTCAATTATGGTGCAGTGACATTAATTTTCTAGGACAGTTACTCAGCTGGATGGCCATGTGGGTTTTATTGTCTTCTCTAAGGCCATTTCTGAGAAATATAAGGATCTTTGAGCCACTAGTATCACAGAATCTATTTAAAAATTGGCCCCTTTCGCTCTGTGAAACTATAATTAGTCCAAAGAAAATTTTCTCTCAATCTGGTAGTCCTTTCAGAGAGAGGAAAATTTGGTAGGTATTTCCCTCCTGAAAAAGATGATTCAATAAAGCTTTAACCAAGAAAGGGTGAGAGTTAAACATCAGAAAAAAGTAACTTGGTAATAAAATAATTTTGGCATCAGTATTTGTATCTATTACAATCTCCAAGGGAAGAACAAAAATATTTAATTATAACTTTAATTCAACTGGTGAAAGTATAACCAAGAAACTGATTCCATTCCTATTTGAGATCAATCCAAGGAGAGACACTGTGTCCAGTGGAGAGAGAGTTTTACTGCAGCAAGCAGGCAGGTTGAAAGATGAAGTGTTCATGTCCTCAAGTAAGCAGGTTGAATCTAGGGACTGAAGCCATAGCACAGTGGGGACAGTGCTTGCCTTGCCTGTAACAGACTGGGTTAAATCCCAATCATCTTATAAGGATCCTGATCCCTGTCAGGAGTGATCCCTGAGAACAGAGCTAGGAGAAAGCTTTGAGTATCACTAACTTTGGTCCAAAAACAAATAAACAAAATGAACAAACAAACAAAAAATCCCTATTCCCTGCATAGTCATAAGAGGCTTTACAAGGAAAGGAATCAGGGAAACACAACTTTAGGAAGGGTAGATGACCGGCTGTTGGGAATGTGGTGACCAGTGAATTCTCTCCGGGCCTGATCCTCTGAGGCACACTCTGGACTTGACTGCAAAATCAATGTCTGACTAATATTTCTGACTAATACTTCTGCACTCATCCTTTAGGGCAAGCTCAGGGGGCAGAATTCACATTCTCAGCTACCCCTCACAAGACAAATTTTCTAATGTTGAATTCAACTCATTTCCTTGGGCCACCTCAAAAGAATTCAGGTAAAAAATAAAAAGGGAGAGAGTTTTATTTTCTTTTGTTTTTTATTTCTTTATTTTTTAGGGGAACTTCAGGGGGAATCCCCCAAACTTAAAGATCCAGGGGCCTGAGCAGATTCTCAAGTAACTAAACCAATAGTTCAATGCAAGGACTTAAGGATGCTATAGTGCTCAGTCCTGCAACAGCAGAGATTACCTGGTCACCCAGTGGTACCTGGGCCTCCAGGGCTATACCCACCAATGACTGGGGGAGATGTGGCATCAGGAATTGAACCCAAGGAATCGGTCACATGCTTTGCATGAGAGAGTACAGTCTAACTGTGGTACTACTTCCTGGCCCCAGGTGGCTATGTGATAATGTGATGGTAATCAGAGTGAAATACTTCTATTAAAAAATGACTTTGGAGGACCATTGCAGATCTGAAGACTACAAAAAAGTTCCAAAGGCATCCAGAATCTTGTTTTAATTAAAATAAGCACAATTCACATGAGATTGTCTCTTGGCATTTTATAAATACTAGTAACCTGATCATACAGTGACAGAGAAGCCATCTACTTAGGCAAATATTACAGAAACCCATTTAAAAAAGAACACCTCATGTCAATATAAAAATGTAAATTTATATTAACATGTTTCTACCTCTTGAAGGCATATCCTAATAGATTTAGGGTCTTATAAACAATGTTGATTTTAGATAAGGGGTTAATATCGAAGATATTGATACCTTACAAGAAAAAAATCATTCAATCCCATCAAAAAAATGGGGGAAAGAATTGAACAGAAACTTCCTCAAAGAATACATACAAATAGCCGAAAGGCACATGAAAAATGCTCTATATCGCTAATCATTAGGGAGATGCAACTCAAAACAACAATGAGGATACCATCTCAAACCAAAGAGTCTGGCACACATCCAAAAGAACAAAACAACCATTTTTGGCATGGATGTGGGGAGAAAGGGACTCTCCTTCATTGTTGGTGGGCATTCCGACTGGTCCAGCTTATTTGGAAAACAATATGGACTTTCCTCAAAAAACTAGAAATTGCGTTTCTATCTGACCCAGCAATACCATTTCTGGAATATAACCTCAGGTGAAAAAACACACAGCAGAAACACCATCTGCACCCCTATGCTCATTGCAGCACTATTCACCATAGCCAGAATCTGGAAATGACCTAAGCGCTAGAGAACAGATGACTGGGTGAAGAAACTATGATCCATCTACATAACAGAATAGTATACAGCGGTCAAAAATGAAGTAACAAAATTTGCTTATAAATGGATGAACATGGAGAGTAACATGCTGAGTGAAACGAGTCAGAAGAGGGACAAACAGAATGACTGCACTGCACTCATTTGTGCAGTATAAAATAGAGTATGAGACTAACATCCAAGGACAGCAGAAATACCAGTCAGGAGGACTAGTCCATAGTTGGAAGCCCCTCTCAGGTGCTAGGGGAGAGTACAGTTGAAGTAGAGAAGAATCCACTATGGCAATGATAGTGGGAAATGATCACTGGATAAGAACTGACGTGCTGAAAGTGGTAACGAAACAAACATAATAACCTCTCAGTGTCTGTATTGCAAACCATAATGCCCAAAAGGAGAGAGAGAGAGAGAGAGAGAGAGAGAGAGAGAGAGAGAGAGAGAGAGAAGAAAAACAGAAGAAAAGTGGAATGGAGGTGACCGGAGGGAAACTGGGGTCATTGGTGGTGGTAAATGTCCACTGGCGGAGGGATGGGTGTTCGAACATTGTATGACAGAAACCCGATCATGAACAGCTTTTTAACATTGTGTCTCACAGTGACTCAATTAAAATTAAAACAAAAAACACCTGAAGAAAAAAAAATACAGAAAGACAAAATGGACTTGTACAATTCCATGATCCTTATAGGTATTCTTGAATGTGATGGCTAAAAATTTCAAAGGTAATCAGATAAGACTTTTACAGGCTAGTCGTGGCCGTTAAGATTTATGTGCTTCATAACAATGAGTCCCTTTTATATATTTGAATTTTATTATAACTGTAATCATGGCTAGAAATAAAAGCTCCTTCAACTTATGCTAGTTAAATATAAGATTCACTTAAAAAAAAACAGTGATTAAACATACCTGTATCACCAGAAAGCCTAGCACATAGAGTTCTGTTTTGGTAGATACCAAAAGAAGAAAAAGAAAAAAAAAACAGCAAAGCACTTACCTTTTGGGCAAAATGACCAAGCAACAAGCTATCAGTAATGGAAGTATTTGCTTCACTTTCTAAGATTTCAATTCCAAACTCTCTACATGCATAAACTTGGAAGTTTTTCAGATGCAGATTTCTACTTCTAAAAATCTATAAAATAAAAAAGTATGTGAGAGCAAAAGGTCTAAGGCCCAAGTTTTCTTAAAACTTCCTTTAAGTTCTTTAATTATTGGTTTAGTGTAAATGTGTTCCCTTACTATAATGAGGGAACTTTTGTCTGTCATTATTAGTACGCACATCCCAATGAGGACACACAGGCAGCAAACTAGTTCCCTTTTATTGCATTTCTCTGCACTGTTCATTTTCATTATCACATACTTTTAAAAGGTCAATGTATATTCTTCCCATGTTTAATTAATAAACTCATGTTGACAAATAACACAAAATTCACATTAAAAAAAATTGACCATCTATAAACTTCAGTGTTTAGATTTCTTGGTGTAGTCAGGTCTTCTAAAAGCTTTTCCACTAGAAACTACATTTACCCAAGAAACTGTTTATATGGTACCAGATATACACTCTATAAAGTATTTATACAAATCAAACATTTACTGCTGGTAATATGGCATGATGAAATTTATTTTAAAACAAAAAAAATAAAAATTGCATAACACAATATTGGATTGTGACATAGAGTTTAAGAAGTTCAGGACTGTAGGTTTAAATTGTCAGAAAATTGCAAATATAAAATCAGCAATTTTATTTGTCTACAGATTCATTTTGGGTGGGCCCATATTATGTTATGTGCACATATATTTATGACAAATTGTATTAGTGGGCCTAACTAGAGATCAAATGTGAAAAATATAGCTTAGTAAAATTGAAATAATCCCATAGGACTGAGAAACACATACGTTTTTCGCCTAGCTCTGATATTAAACATGTGATCTTGGGCAAGATATTAAACCTCTCCTAGGCTCTAATTTAACCATCCTTAATAACCTTGATGGCAGAGGGAGCAAAGAGATAGGACCGTGGATAAGGTGCTTGCTTGGCAAGTGGTGGATCTGAGTTTGATCCCTGGCATCCCATGTGGTCCCCCGAACCCTACCAGGAGTGATTTCTGAACAAAGAGCCAGGAGTAAACCTTAAACAAAGCTGGCCATGACTCAAAAAAAAAAAATACAAAACCAAAAAATATTAAAAATTAAATCAGGGCAGAGATTAAGACTAGAATTTAACCTCACGTAGGCTCTTTTGATCCATTAAACTGGATCAGATCTACATTCATGCTGTTGTTCTGTTTTGGGGCCACATCCAGCAATGCCCAGGGGCCACTCCTGTATCTGCATTCAGGAATTACTCCTGGCAGTGCTCAGGGACCTTATGAGATGCCAGGAATCACACCCAGGTGACCATGTGCAAGACAAGTGTCCTATCTGCTGTGATTTCTCTCCAGCCCCATGAGATCTGCATTCTTAAAATACCTTCTATGAGTTAAATCAAACAGCACCCAAAAGAAGAGAGGGAACAAAAGGGAATGCCCTGCCACAGAGGCAGGGTGGGATGGGGAGCGGGAGGGATACTGGGATTCGCGGTGGTAGAGAATGGGCACTGGTGGAGGGATGGGTGTTTGATCATTGTATAATCGAAACCCAAGCACAAAAAAATTGTAAGTCGACAATTGTACCTTATGGTGTTTCACTGATAAAAAAAAAAAAGGAAAAAAAAGAAATGGAACCTAGAAGTGAGAAAAAAAGAGCCTTAGCTTATTTTAGTATTGTGTTCATTTCTGTCAGTAAATCCGTATACATAAATTTTTAAAAATTAATGCCTTCCATATGTAAGCACCAATAGCTTTTGAAAAAATTATGGGGCTTTAAAAACACAGAAGTTTATTTAAACAAAATAGATAATGATCTGAATTGATAATTTGACAAGAGTTGTTACTTAATGACAGGGATATGTTCAAATTTTAGCGAATAAACTTTTATTCAAAAATAACTAACATCTAACATTAGCTAGAGAACCTGCTAATTTATCACACACAATAATAAAATGTCCCTGATTGTGATATGAATATGGTTTCACAATATGTTCTCAATTCTCTATCGTCTCAAAAAACCATTCTGCATTAGTGAGACATTGTGAGAAAAGGAGATTATTTTTATCTTAACATAGACATAAAGGGTCTAAATCACCTGAGTTGTAGTCCAACAACTCTGTATTATATGACTGACCTTACCAAAAATTTTACAATCTCTGATCCAGAAAGATTTATTTCTACAAATTAAACATAATGATATACTTCCCCAAAAGTTAGTAAGATCATTAAGTGAGAAAATATCCAGGAACACTAGCCAAAACTATTATAAAGGATATTCAAATATCTTTTATATCTTTTGAGGATACATGGTAGATATTATACCAGCTGAAATAATCTGTTTAAATATTTATGTCACGTAATGTCTTAATCACAAAAATATAATGAGATATATGTAATAACGAAATTTTATCAATATGAATACAATATATAATTTGAAGGTACACATGTCATTTCTCACTGCTACATTTCCGGAAACAGTATTACCAACTTTAATCCTTTACCCTTCAATTCTGCTTCTTAACAATTGTGGTAATGATAACTGCATATCCACTAATGTCCAGGTACTCCACTAGGCACTTCATATGCAGGCATTTATTTAACTCTCTAAGGATAGGTAAAGTAAGGTAAAGGCCCTCCCGTTGATCGTCGATTTGCTCGAGCGGGCCCAGTAACGTCTCCATTGGAGACTTTGTTGTTACTGTGTCTGGCATATCCAATACTCTCAGCAGCTTGCCGGGCTCTCCGAGAGGGGCAGAGGAATCGAACTCGGGTCGGCCATGTTGGCCGCGTGTAAGGCGAACGCCCTACCCGCTGATTTAACTCTCTAAGGATATTTTTCTTTATATACTATTACCAGTGCCACCTTATAAGGCAGATGAGGGGATTTTTTTCCCCAAGGAGACACAATTAAGAAGTGGAATATTTGAGAATTTAGATGACCATGTACTTTTTTGTTTAATGTAGGAGTACTGCTATTTATTCAGCCAATGATTAAGCTAATTGAATTGGGCATGAACTCCACAATACTTTTTTTTATTTATAATGTTAATTTAATTTTTTTATTGAATCACCGTGAGATACAGTTACAAAGCTTTCCTGTTTGAGTTTCAGTCATATAATGATCAAACACCCAATCCTCCACCAGTACATATCTTCCACCACTGAGAATCCCAGTACCCCCCATCCCACCCTTACCCCTGCCTCTATGGCAGATAATCTTCCCCTTACTCTTTTGCGTTGCTTGTTATGAATAGCATAAGATGTCGCACAGCCGTGAGAGTGGACATGTGCTCTTGGAATTCTAAAATTTTAGATAATTAGGCTCTGGAGTAACGTCTCCATTGGAGACTTTGTTGTTACTGTGTCTGGCATATCCAATACTCTCGGTAGCTTGCCGGGCTCTCCGAGAGGGGTGGAGGAATCGAACTCGGGTCGGCCATGTTGGTCGCGTGTAAGGCGAACGCCCTACCCGCCGTGCTATCGCTCCAGGCTCTGGAGAAATCTCTGCAGAGAGCTGCTCAGTTCCAATATTCCTTTTTTTTCCTTTTTGGGTCACACATGGCGATGCACAGGAATTACTCCTGGTTCATGCACTCAGGAATTACTCCTGGTGGTGCTCGGGGGACCATATGGGATGCTGGAAATTGAACCCAGGTCGGCCGTGTACAAGGCAAACACCCTACCGGCTGTGCTATTGTTCCAGCCCCCAAGATTCTTTTGTGTGTTTCTGGATCATGGCCATTAAGGAGTTTAAGTAGCATGTGGAGGCAGTTTGTGGGAGTGACCTCCAGGGTCCCATGGGGGACCGGGAAGAGAGACCAACCTATCCCCCATCCTTTGAGAGAGACCAACCCAGCCCCCATCCTTTGAGAGAGACCAACCCAGCCCCCATCCTTTGAGAGAGACCAACCCAGCCCCCATCCTTTGAGCCCTGGAGTTTGTTGTCACTGTACCCATGTTTCTGTACTTCTAATTGGGTTTGGGAAGTTGGCAGCCGCCAGAGTTTTCAGGGGGTAGTGAGTCACCCCGGTGAAGTTAGCCTGGCTTAAAGTCTGAAGTCATCTCTACATCAAGCTTCTCTGTTCAGAGATTCTTTTGTGTATCTCTGAATCATGGCCCTTGTTTCCATTTTTTTTCAGAGAAATAAACTCTTAGCATATGCCCTGCAGGGCATGCCCGCTTGCCCATAGCATGCCATGCTGCAGGTCCTAACTGTGGTTTATGATATCTTTTGAGATTTATGGGTCTCTGAAATAAGGCCAATGAATGAGTTTGTATAGTTCAGTAGGACACGGTTTGTGGGTGTGGCTCCCACAGACTTAACTTTTGGCCATTTAATTTCTTGATAAACTTGGCCTCAAGTTTGTTTGTCCACCCAAAGGTACAGCGGGAATTTTGGGGTATCAGGAAGCCCGAAGGCACCATCAGGCTGCTGATGCACTCACAAGTACAGGTTGACCTGCTGGCGGCACCATAGCCCTGCTTCACGCCCCTCCACTATGTACTTTTTTAAAAAAAAATAAGCATAGATAACTGCTTACATTACAAAACTACGAATGGTATGATTTCAAGAATAAAAACTGTCTAGAATTCTCCCCCTAACAATCAGAATTGCTGAAAAAGAATTGTGAAATATTTTGTTTTCTATAGCTGGTTATGAGAATCATATAATGTCACACGGCCACAATTCTGGGTTTCTGCACTGGTGAAGGGAAAGGTGTTTGATCATTGTATGACCGAGACTTAAAGCTGAAAGCTTAGTAACTTTTCCCACAGTGATTCAATAAATAAATATAAAAAGAAGAAAAATAAATAAATAAAAAATTAAGGTGGAGCTCATGCCCAATTCAATCAGCTTATCAGTGGCTGAATAAATAGCAGTACTCCTACCAAAAAAAAAAAAAGAATAAGAACTGTCCATGTAGTAACACTTGTACGTAAATTTCATGACTTCATCTTTTCTAACAGCTACATAGTACTCCATTGTGTAGTTGTACCAAGTTTCTTTAACCAGTCATCTGTTCTCAGGCACTGAATATCAACCCTTTATTAGATGATCCCTGGCATTTCATATAGTCCCCCAAGCCTGCCAGGAGAGATACCTGAGTGCAGAACAGGACTAACCCCTGAATACCCCCTGGGTATAACTCAAAAACAAAAAGAAAAAAATTAAGAGAGAAATGAGAAAGTGGAAATATTAGATGGTCTTACTCATATGCTAGGAGGTATAGGGAATCCAAGCATGGAAACGAAACTAACAGACACAAATACTTGGATCAGACTACAGTGTTGTCAGTACTAGAGGTAAACGCTAGAGAGGAGTTAAAGAGGGGAGTAGATCCAATGGACTGAGGTAGAAATAGATCGACGCTTTGAAGATGATTGTGCTATGGTATGCTTTGATGGAGAACGAAATTGTGCTGCTAACACATGTACAGTTGTGTAAATCTGTATCTCCATTTTTAGAAAATAGAAACAAAAAAGGAAAATCAAATAAGAAACTTGTCACCAATGACAAATGCTATTAAATGCTTTTTGTTGTTCATCATCACAGTCACGGTCCTCCCGTTGTTCATCGATTTGCTCAAGCGGGACCAGTAACATCTCCATCGTGAGACTTGTTGTTACTGTGTCTGGCATATCGAATACATCACAGGGAGCTTGCCAGGCTCTGCTGTGTGGGCGAGATACTCTCGGTAGCTTGCCGGGCTCTCCGAGAGGGGCGGAGGAATCGAACACAGGTCAGCCAGGTCGGCCACGTGCAAGGCAAATGCCCTACCGCTGTGCTATCGCTTCAGCCTATGTGATTCATCATATGTGATTCATCATATGTTGTTCATCATATGTTGAACATATGATATGTTGTTCATCGTATGTTCATCATATGTTGTTCATCATATGTGATTAATATTTGTGTTTTTTAACCTGTAACAGCTAGCATACTCTGTACTGACATATTAGCTACTTCCAAAAGATGCTAAATGGTCCTTCTTTAGAGAGAGTACTTTTTTAAAATATCATTCACCAATAAAATTTAGTCAAATGGTCATTGGAGGGACTAATCTCAGGAGCCAAATGCATTGTAATCTCTGACCAGTTTATAGCAGAGAATGGGATAGAGGGTCATTATTGTAGGTTTTGCGAAAAAAAAAAAATAGTGGTTTTGCCAGACACGCGCCCTTGACTCTAGAGAGTACTTTAACAGCCATTGCTTTTTTTTTTGTCAACCAGCCAGTGTCAGAAGGGGTCCAGGGTTAAACTGAACCTGGAAACCTGGGTTTGGTTGGGAGGACCCAGAACCAAATTGGATTCTTCCAACCTCGCAGGATGAAAGAGAACAATCATCCATATGGAGTGAGGGGAAGAAGATAGAGAAGAAACCATTGTAATTGGTGATTAGGAAAGAATCCAAAGTCTAAAACCAGGACTAAGTCCCAACTTTCATTTGAATATTGAAACATAAAGTCAGGTTTGTAACCCAAATCCCTGCCTCAAAATCAGAACACTCTCTTGTTGAAAAATAAAATGGCCTTTGACCTTGGATGATTTAAGTGAGTTATTCCTGCTTTCTATAAATATTCGCACAAAGGGCAAGAATGATCCTGGTAAGTCATGAATTGATACTCTGCATTCAAGAGCACTCAATTATTTCCACTGGATTTTTTATACATATGTTCATAATGCTTACGCTAAACAAAGTACATTATAAAGAAAATACTAAACATAATTGCGATCACTCCTGTTAACTACCCTAATTATATATTTTAATTGTTCTCTATCTACAAGGGTCTTCCTCTTGTAAAGTACACAAAATAAATGTTTTTCTAATTGTAACTTGTTATGTGGTTTTAATTTATTTCCTGAATGTCCTGTAAACATATCTCTTCATCTTCAGACCTCAGGCCCCAGACTCATAAGAGTCAGAGACCCACATATACATAATTTTTTTTTCTGTGCAGCAGCAAGCAGTTACACTGTGTAATAGTTTTATGTTGCTATTAAGAGGGAGAATGCTCAGATTCCTTATTAGAAAACCATTTTGATAATGAAAAGTAAATGACAGAACATGAGCTTGTTTTCCTCTTAAGGGAAAACAGAAAATTCAGCTTATGATAAAAGACTAGAACCTTAAGCAGAAATTCTGTTTTCCAGTCATAAACAGCACTTAAGACCGAGACATGTATTATTGAGGATATTAAGGTATTAATGTATATAACCCTTGGAGTTTGCATACTGAAGCTGGTTATGCTACTAATTATCTGTGTGACCTCTTGCTGCTACACAGAGAAAATTACATACACTTGGTCTCTGTATCAGGAATTGGGAGCCTAAACTCCATAGAAAAATAATATGTTACAGAAATTGCAGAAAACAAAAAATATAAAGTTGCAATAAAAAGACATTTCTTTTGTATAACTTACAAGAGAAAGACTATTGTGGATGGGGAAGGATTAATATATACAGATATAAAATATTAAAATATATATAAAAGATTAAACTATATATAAACCTCCATAATTTATCTCTAATAGGCAGGGAAGAAGGAGAATGTGTGAACTGCAGGAGCTTTCCTGGTTGTAAATCTCTGGGAATTTTGTTGTTCACTATAAGAACTGCTTAAACTAACTCGAGGAGAAATTAGCACAGTGGTAGGGCGTTTGCCTTGCGCGCAGCCAGCCTGGCCAAGCTGGGTTCGATTCCTCCGCCCCTCTCGGAGAGCCTGGTAAGCTACCCAGAGTATTCAATATGCCAAATACAGAAACAAGAAGTCTCACAATGGAGACATTACTGGGCCTGCTCAAGCAAATCAATGAACAACGGGAGGACAGATTACTAAGAATTTATTCATTCAGCAACTACTCCACACAGATTAGTGGTGCCTTTGTCATGGAAACTGTGATAACATTGCATTGTTCCTTAGTGGCAAGTAGCACTGTAGCACTGTCCTCCCTTTTTTCAGTCGATTTGCTCGAGCGGGCCCAGTAACATTGTGAGATGTGTTGTTACTGTGTTTGGCATATGGAATCGGTCATAGGGAGCTGGCCAGGCTTTTGCTGTGCGGGTGAGATACTCTCGGTAGCTTGCTAGGCTCTCTGAAAGGGCTGGAGGAATTGAACTCGGGTCCGCCGATGGACCAGCCGTGTGCAAGGCAGATGTCCAACCCACTGTACTATCGCTCCAGCCCAGTGGCAGGTAGAGAGACACAAAATAAATTGTTCAACAATAAGCAAATAAATGGGGGCCAGGAGTATAGCCCCCTAAAGGGGGACATGCATAACCTGCATTTGAGCCGGATTCAATCCCTGACACAAAAGCACTATCAGTTGTAATTCTAGAGTCCCCTGGGCAGTGCAGAGTGTGACCCTGAGACCCCCAACAGCACTGGGACAAGCTAGGGCATCTCCAGAAAAATAGGACCAGAACGGTGTTACATTATCAGGACCTTGCACTAGAGTCGGTTGGCTAAGAATCTCCCGTGGGACCCTCAGGGCCTGCTGAGTGTCACTTATTAGCCCCAACTTTCCCCCACCAAAAGAAAACAAATAATATTATTTTAATAATAATAATAATAAATTTTTACCTGGACACCACCTGCACTTCCCCAAACCTTGAAGTTTTGGAACACAGTGACCCCAGTGCCATCATCCCACGGGGGCCGAAACTGAGGATACACAAAAAGCCCATACCTAGAAAGCAAGAAAAAGAGGGGCATTTAGCTCATTTCTGTTTCAGAAAGAATCACTTTTTCCACGTTGTTTGAAATCAAAGTACCAATGAAAAGTTAATGCAATGTTTTAGGTACGAGAGCTTAACTTTTATTCCTGTAAATGAAAGTAGGGATTATAGGTATTATATTATTTGCGTTAAATGATTTTCATGCTCTCATTTCCATAGGTTAAAATCATAGCAATCATCATAAATGGAATCTCATTAAATTTTTTATAATTACATTTTCCATTTTGTTCATTTTCTTGGAGCAAGCTATGTGATATAAATTTGTTTCGGGTCTGCTAAGGGGGCAGGCTAGGGGTTTCGGAGGGTAATTGGGGTCATGGGTGGGGGAGGCCACACAGATGGAGGGACTGGTGTTCAAACATTGTATGACTGAAACAATTGTATGAATGACTTTGTAAATCATCGTGTTTCATTTTTTTCTGTCATTTTTAATTAATGTATTTTTATTAAACCTTTTTTTTCAGGCATCTGTGCTCTGATAGTTTACAAACTCAGATGGAGTGGATGACTAGTGTCTTTGTTGCCCAGGTATGCTATCTTTTTGCATCTCTGCACTAAAGTAACCTGACCATAGGAAAATTTTGCACAGTGGGGATTGTTTTTTTCTGGATTTTTTTTTGTAAGTAGTTTATTTTTTCACTTATTTTTAAAATTTATTTTATAAATTTATTTTTTAAATTTATTTTTTAAATTTATTTATTTTTTAATTTTTATTAGTGAAACACCATGAGGTACAGTTGTAGACTTACAAATCTTTGTGCTTGGGTTTCAATTATACAATGATCAAATACCCATCCCTCCACCAGTACCCATTTCCCACCACCACGGGTCCCAGTATCCCTCCCACCCGCCATCCCCCCATCCCACCCTGCCTCTGTAGCAGGGCATTTCCTTTTGTTCTCTCTCTCCTATTGGGTGTTGTGGTTTGCAGAAGAGGCTTTGAGTGGCAATCATGTTTGGTCTATAGTCTACTTTCAACATGCTTCTCCCATCCTGCAAGGATCCTCCCAGCACCCTTTATTTGGTGCTCCCTTCTCTATCTGAGCTCTCTTTTCCCCTAGCATGTGTGGCTGGCCTCCAAGCCATGGAACAAAATTCCTGGTACTAATCTCAGCCATTCTTGGGTGTTAGTCTCCTATTTTGTTACTTTATGTTCCCCAAAGGAATGCAATCTTTCTGTGTCTATCCCGCTCTTTCTGACTCATTTTGCTTAACATGATACTTTAATCATCGTGTTTTAATAAACAAAGTTTTAAAAAGGAAAGAAACATAGGAGTAAGGTATAAAAAGATTAAGGGTCAGGGAGATAATTCTAGCACCCTTCTCCCTGACTTTTGTTACATCGCCCCCAGATTTTCTTCTCTGGAACTATCTGCGCCCAGTTCTCAGCACTCAACAGGATACAGCCTGCCATCGCTCCATCTTTTTTTTTATCTGCAGCCCCTATATATTCACCCTCTTCATAGGATTCTGGATACCTGTATAGCCATCAGTTACTAGGTTTCTACCATTATTCTGTGTTCTCTGAAGTTCATCAGGTCCACCCTCTCTAAATTTCACATAAAATCTCAATGTAGTTAGGTTTTCCATTTTACAAATAAGGGCTCTGACTCAAATTTATAAAATAAATAAAAGCTATACATTAATATAATAAAGTTGGGGTCTACTTCACTCTAAAGTTCCTGTTTTTCTATGCTCCTCAAACGCCCTCCTGCGCCTCCTTGGCCCATGTCCTTGTCATGTGATGGGCTCAAGTCACAGGCAAAGAGCTGCTTCGCCAAGCCAGATCTTCCCAGTCAGCCCCGGCCCTCCGGTCTCTCAGGGATTCTGCATTGTCGGTTGATTCCAATCTCTTTAAAACGAGATTGTTTTGCTATTGAATTTTATTTATTATTTATTTATTAATTTTTATTGCCCTCCATCTTTTCTTTTTATTTTTCATTAAATCACCCTGAAGTACACAGTTACAAAGTCGTTATGATTGGGTCTCAGTCACACAATGTTTCAACACCAGTCTCTTCACGAACATCAGTTTCCTACCACCAGTATCCCTAGTATCCTTCCTTCCACCCGACTCCCCCCATCTCTAGTCTGATTCTTTTTTCCCCTAGTCAAACCCAGCAGTGCTCAGGATCACTTCTGTTCTAAGAGATGACTCCTGGTGGGTATCAGCGGAACCGTGTGCAATGGCAGAGACCCAACTAGGTCAGCAGCATGTAAAGCAAGTGCCTTAATCCCTAGACTCTTTCCAACCATCTCTTTTGAATTTCCTTTGGCCACAAAAGGCACACCTGCCCTTACAAGTGACTAGCCTCTTCCTTTTTTCTCTATTCACTACCAAACTACTGCAGTCCAACACACTTCCACAGATGCATTGTCAACCTCACAAAAAGGACAAAAGTTATAACCCCCCGATAGCATTATCCACACACACACACACACACACACACACACACACACACACACCATATTAAAGCATAATTCTTACCCAAAAAGCAGAAGAGTTTCCCCAAAGTTACCTTATACAGGAATGTGCACTATTTTGAGTGAAGGATATAAGTGGTTCTTGAGATGTTTGGTTGGTCACAAGATGGAAAAAGAAACCATAACCAGCAACACACACCTTGTTTCCCTACAGAAATGAAAGGTAATTAAATATTAGTTCGTATATAGTAAAATTGCTGGGGGGGGTGGAGAAAAGAGTCCTATTATCATGTATTCTGCCATTTCATTCACTTCCTGTCAAGGTATATTGATACTCATCCTCTTTGCTTCTTCTCCTGAGATCAAATATGCAGTTGATCCTTTAAAAAAAATCTGAGGCTTTAAAATAACAGGGATTGGGGCTGCAGTGATAGCACAGTGGTTAGGGCATTTGCCTTGCACACGCCCTAACCCGGGTTCGATTCCCAGCATGCCATATGGTCCCCCAAGCACGGCCAGGAGTACATGAACCAGGAGTAACCCCTGTGCATCTCCAAGTGTGACCCAAAAAGCAAAAAAATAAAATAAAATAAAATAACAGGGATCACGTTTTTTTTCTTTTCTAAGTTTCAGTATTCATAAATTCTAACAACTGCTAAAGACGGTCGACTGAATACTTCTGTGGAGAATAGGTTATACACAGGGCCAGTGCACATTTAACAAGGATTTTTGATGATAGGGACAGATTAACCCTTGCATTCTCAAGAGACTCTCTGCTCTCTTCGAATAGAGAGCTTAACTTGATTATAGTTTTCTCACCTCACCAAGTGTGTTCGTATTCTAAAACGTGCTTGTTAGCTTCTAGACTGAGTTTCTTGTGACAGCAATCCCAGCCTCTTCTCTGGCATATCCAAGTACATGAAATGACTCTCACTTTAAAGACAAGATACACCAAATTGTTCTTTCTGGGGGCCAGAGCAATAGTACAGCAGACAGGGTACGTGTCTTGCATGTGGCCTACCCAGGTTGGATCACCAGAATCCTATATGGTTCTGCAAAACCTGCCAGAATTGATCTCAGATTGCCGAGCCAGGAATGAACCCAGTTTGGGCCACCCCAAAAAGAAAAAAAGGAAAAAATCATTTCTCTGGAATTTGTGCAAATTTAACTGAAGGCTGAAGGCCATGATTACACCAATCGTGTCTTAGTTCTGAGACAAAGCAAGTCAAATGCAACTTAAATTTTCTCAATGTACTCTTACCCTAGTAAAATATTTTAAATGATTTTAGCATTTCTTTGTAACATTTACCAAAAAATTGATGTATTTTATATGTACCAAAGCTTAAATTCTCCATTGGATCACATGCATTGTGATTTCTAATTCTGACCAAAATGTACACAATTAAGTTAGCTTTACACATTCAATAAAGTGCTGGCAATTAGTTATCATAGTAACATATTCCAAAGCAGAATAAAAAGCTGACTTCCCCAAATAGCTAACAATATACACAGACGTATTTTGTTTGGGCCACAGAATTTTTTTATAAAGTTTTTCATTTTGTTTCCGACACTTTTAAATCTGAAAATGTAAGAAATTCAGGTTCACACTTTCAGATTTTTTTTTAAATAACAGTGAGCCCTTGCACTATTGAGGTATAAAACTGTATTTTCATAATTCTACTGCATATTATATATTACTGCAAATGACCGGTATTGCAATAAATTCTGATCTGAAAATTATTTGGGGGGACCAGAGTGATAGTACAGTAGGTAGGGCGCTTGTCTTGTACATAGCTAGCACGGGCTCCATCCCTGGCACCCCATATAGTATGCTGAGGCCTCTGGGAGTGATCCCTGAGTGCAGAACCAGGAGTACAGCCTAAGCACATCCAGGTGTGGCCCCCCAAAACAATAATAATTATGATTATGGAGTCTGAGTTCCTCCAGGATAGACGTATCTCAGCTGGAGCTACTGTCTGCATGACTGATGAGTTCTTTTTGCCAATCTCCCCTGTTCACTCAGTCATATCAGGGTTCCCAAAGACATTTGAATTTTTTAACTTCTGAACACCAGATGGTAAAATAAAAGATATATTGGCTGTTCTATGTTTTCGTGGAGAAAGTCAAGGGTCATTACATCGCATTGCTGGGCTACTTCCTTATGATTGTGTGTGCATGCGTCTCCCCCACCTGCAGGCTCATCGAAGGGCAAGATGCCCAGTCTACCTGGAGAACAGGAGTCAGCAAAGATGCTACTCCGCCAGCCTCAGGCCTGGCATTTGTGCCACAAGGATCTTGGGAACCTAAAAGGCTCCCACCTGCTTCAACCCCAATCACTGAGAGGGTTAGACCCGGCTGTCTGGTGTGATGAGCAGAGTGCCTCAGGAATGTCCTCTCCATAAGCATCTCAGCCTCCCAGGAGCACAGGATTATGAGGTGAACACAGGTCATCCTAACATCACAGCGCAGAAAAGATTGCAGATCAGTGAGGATGTGGCACTGGGCCACCCGCCAACGCACTCTAGATCTTTCTGAGAGAACACTTCAGAGCAGAGTGACCTCTGCATACAGCTCCCAGGGACTCTGTTAAAAGAATCTTGCTCAACCAGCTTCTCACAACTTTTGTATACACCCAGGAGAGGGACACCACCAGAAATTGCAAATAAAAAGACCAGACCAGTCAAATTTAAGTTTTAAATTTTAAAAATGCATTTTATGCATAAGCGTGTTCCAAATACATATTGGAACATGATATATTTACACCAATATTGTTAAACTATATTTTCTATATTATTTATATTAATCTATATCTAATGTTATGATGTGCATAAACAAATACATATAAAAGGTATGTATTTCCTTTTATCAGTGGGTTGTTAGTTTATTTTTAATAGCATTTGGGAGAAGTTTACTGAAGTTACATTACCTTCATTATATTTTTGTATCTTACCTACATTATATTTTTGGTATGCATTAATAAAAAATCAACATGCTACGTTAAGTTTATCACTGAAAAATCCTATTCTGTTCTTTGCCAAACAATGGGTCTCCCTTGCCCAACTTTCTGTCTCTTCCCTCTGATGTCCATTGATGGGTCTAAATTTACCAAGATGTGATCTGTTTTCTCTGAAAGTCCTAACCCGAAGATATGTAAAATCCAAATCTCTAGTACCCATCATTAGAGAGTCTGACTTGCAGGTTTTAGGAGTGATGTAGCCAGGAGATGAACAAGATATAAACAATATTCTGTACCATGAGCATGCCTGGTCTTTCAAAGAATACAGATGGTCTTTAGACCCCAGTTTGAAAATCAGTTCTCTGGAAGCGACTGATTTTCATCAACTGTTAACTTTAAAATCATCAAGGAGGTGTTCTATAGGACAATCTAGTGATCTCGAAGACATTCAAAAGGAAGAAACATTGAAAAAATTCATTTCCTGGAATTTTGGTCCCGGGTGGCTTGGAGACCCACAGCAAAATAAGCCACTGTTGGAACTAAAGGAAGTTAGACATGAGGGTGTAAATCTATTTCTAGATCACCAGTAAAATAGAATTGCCCAATTCAGTGCAAAGTTCATTTTCGTTGAGATTTTTTCCTATTTTATATAACCAAGTGCATAGTAATAAGATTTATACTAAAGATTTTGATAAAGTGAGTCTTTTAGAGTACAGATATCAGGGTTTTTTTTTTTTTTTTGCTTTCTGGGTCACACCCGAAGATGCACAGGGGTTACTCCTGGCTCTGCACTCAGGAGTCACTCCTGGCAGTACTCAGGGGACCATATAGGATGCTGAGAATTGAACCCGGGTCAGCCGCATGCAAGGCAAATGCCCTACCTGCTGTGCTATCTCTCCAGCCCCAGATGTTAGATTTTAAAGACATGTATTTCCCCAATATTCTGACTTATGTATCATTATAATTTCACAAACCAAAAAAAAAACAAACAAAAGAGAAAAAAAGGAAAAGAAAGAGAAAAAAGAAAAAGAGAAAAGAAGAAAAAAGAAAAGAGAGAAAAGGGGAAGGGAAGGAAGGGGAGAGGAGGGAAGGGAAGGGAAGGGGGAAGGGAGGGGAGGAGCCGGGGGAGGGGAGGGGAGGGGAGAAACTTCGAAATACAATAACTGCCACCCACAGACTTCATGTGTGTCTAGGCTCAAATTATTATAAATTGTTGTCTAATCAAGACAAAGCCCAGAAAGTAGATGCCCAGTAACTGGGTGTAAGTAAGGAAATACAGGCTGCCTCTTTACAATAGCCAGAAACTAGAAGAAACCTGAGTGCCCAAGAACAGATGACTGGTTAAAGAAACTTTGGGACATCTACACAATCGGGTACTATGTAGCTGTTAGAAAAGATGAAGTCATGAAATTTACATACAAGTGGTACAACATGGAAAGTATCATGCTAAGCGAAATGAATCAGAAAGAGAGGGATAGGCAGAGAAAGATTGCATTCATCTGGGGGATATAAAGTAACAAAATATGAGATTAATACCCAAGAATAGCCGAGATCAGTACCAGGAGGATTACTCCATAGCTTAGAGGCCAGCCGGGCATTCTAGGGGAAAGGGCAGCTCAGATAGAGAAGGGAGCACCAAATAAAGGGTGTTTGGAGGATCCTCCCAGGAGGGCAGATGCATGTTGAAAGTAGACTATGGAATGAACATGTTTGCCACTCAATGCCTCTTTTGCAGAACACAACACCCAAAAGGAGAGAGAGAACAAAAGGGAATGCCCTGCCACAGAGGCAGGGTAGGATGAGGGGGGGATGGGGGATGGGAGGGATACTGGGACCCGTGGTGGTGGAGAATGGGCACTGGTGGAGGGATGGGTACTCGATCATTGTATAACTGAAACCCAAGCACAAAAATTTGTAAGTCTACAACTGTGCCTCATGGTGTTTCACTAATACAAATTTAAGAAAAAAATTTCAAAGCATCACAGTCAGATTTAACAAAGGAGTGAAATCTTAACCTTCTGAGAAAAATCCAAAAAATATACCCCCCTTCTGTATCCACCATACAGGGGGGAAACGGTTTGATTGGTTTAGAATGCACAGTGCGATATATGAGGAAGGGACCGGCCTGATATTCACTGTAGGCAAGGAAAACAAATAAGATTTTCAAGAGTACTACAAAAGATGAGAGTTCTGAAATTCTATTATTACAAGGACTGGGCATGACTAAGATTAAACATCAAGTTAAGGAGGAT